ATCAATCAACATGATACATCACATCAATAAGAAAAAGGATAAAAACCATATGATTATTTCAATAGTTACGCAGAAAAAGCATTTGACGAAGTACAACATCCATTTATGATAAAAATACTCAACAAAGTAAGCTTAGAGGGAATATACCTCAACATAATAAAGGCCAGATATGAAAAACCCACAGCTAACAGCATACTCAATGGGGAAAAACAGAACTTTTCCCCTAAGGTCAGGTACAAGACAAGGATTTCCACTCTCACCACTTTTATTCAACATAGTCCTAGCCACAGCAATCAGACAACAAGAAGAAATAAAAGGCAACCAAATTGGTAAGGAAGAAGTAAAACTTCCACTATTGGCAGATGACATGATACTATATGTAGAAAACCCTAAGACTCCACCAAGAAACTACCAGAACTAATAAATGAATTCAGTAAAGTTGTAAAATACAAAACCAATGTACAGAAATCTGTAGCATTTCTATACACTGCTAATGAAGCAGCAGATAGAGAAATTAAGAAAACAATCCCATTTACAACTGCACCAAAAAGAATAAAATACCTAAGAATAAACTTACCCAAAGAGGTAAAGGACCAGTACTCTGAAAACTATAAAACACTGATGAAAGAAAATGAAGACAGAAGAAAGAAATCGAAAGACATTTCATGCTCATGGACTGGAAGAACAATAATGTTAAAATGTCTGTATTACCCAAAGCAATCTACAGATACAATCCCAATCAAAATACCAACAGCATTTTTTACAGAACTAGGAAAAACAATCCTAAAATTTGCTGGGAACCACAAAAGACCCCAAATAGCCAAAGCAATCTTAAAAAAAAAAAAACTGAAGGTATCACAATTCCAGACTTCAAGTTATATTACAAAGCTGTAGTAATCAAAACAGTATGGTACTGGCAAAGAAACAGACACATCAATAAAACAGAATAGAAAGACCAGAAATAAACCCACAATTATATAGTCAGTTAATCTTCGACAAAGCAGGAAAGAATATCTAGTGGGAAAAAGTCTCGTCAACATATGGTATTGGGAAAACTGAACAGCTACATGCAAAAGAATGAAACTGGACCACTTTCTTACACCATACACGAAAAATTAAAATGGATTAAGGACCTAAATGTGAGACTTGAAACCATAAAAATCCTAGAAGAGAACAGAGGCTGTAATTTCTCTGACATCAGGCAAAGCAACTTCTTTCTAGATATGTCTGAGACAAGGGAAACAAAAGCAAAAATAAAGTATTGGAACTACATCAAAATAAAAAGCTTCTGCACAGCAGAAGAAACAACCAACAAAACTAAAAGACAACCTATGGGAGAATGGGAGAAGATATCTGCAAATGACATATCTGGTAAAGGGTTAGTATCCAAAATATGTAAAGAACTTATACAACTTAACACCAAAATAAAAATAAATAATCCAAGTAAAAAATGGGCAGAAGACATGAACCGACATTTCTCCAAAGATGACATACAGATGCCAACGGATACATGAAAAGATGTTCAACATCACTCATCTTCAGGGAAATGCAAATCAAAACCACAATGAGATATCACCTCACACCTGTCAGAATCATTACAATTAAAAACTCAAGAAACAAGTGCTGTCAGGGTGCCTGCGTGGCTCAGTCATTAAGTGTCTGCCTTTGGCTCAAGTCATGGTCCCAGAGTCCTGGTATCGAGGCCCGCATCCGTCTCCCTGCTCTGCGGGGAGCCTGCTTCTCCCTCTCCCACTCCCTCTGCTTGTGTTCCCTCTCTCGCTGTGTCTCTCTCTGTCAAATAAAATCTTTAAAAAAAAGAAAGAAAGAAAGAAACGAGTGCTGGCAAGGATGTAGAGAAAAAGGAACCTTAGTGCACTGTTGGTAGGAAGGCAAATTGGTGCAGCCAGTTACTGTGGAAGATAGTATGGAGGTTACTCAAAAAATTAAAAATAGAACTACCCTATGACCCAGCAATCACACTACTGAGTATTTACCCAAAGAATATGAAAACACTAATTCAAAAGGATATATGCACCTCTATATTTATTGCAGTGTTCTTTATAATAGCCATATTATAGAAGCAGCCTAAGTGTCTGTCAATAGATGAATGGCTAAAGAAGATGTGGTATATATACACAATACAATATTATTCGCCATAAAAAAAGAAATCTTGCCATTTGCAACAACATGGATGGAACTAGAGGGTATTATGCTAAGCAAAGTAAGCCAGTCCGAAAAAGACCTATACCATATGATTTCACTCATGTGGAATTCAAGAAACAAAACAAATGAAAAAAGCGGGGGGAACAAACCAAAAAACAGACTCTACTATAGAGAACAAACTGATGGTTAGCAGAGGGGAGGTGGGTGGGGGATGGGTGAAACAGGTGATGGGGATTAAGAGTACACTTATCTTGATGAGCACTGAGTAATGTATAGAATTGTTGAATCACTGTATTGTACATCCGAAACTAATATAACACTGCATGTTAACTACACCGGATTTAAAAAATAAATTTAAAAGGTAAAAAGTAAAAAGTAAAGTAAAATAAAAATTTACTCATTAAAAAACTCAATTTAATATGAAAGAGTAATTGTGCACTGAACAAAGGTATTTATTTATAATTCTTACCTTATTTTTACCTCAGAGTAGTGTTGCTTAAAGGTCAAGTGTGGGGGGGAGGAGAGGGGTGTGTGGGTGTGTGTGTGCGCACATGCGCGTGTGTGTAAGAAAGAGAGAAAGAACATGTATCCCATTCCTTTGTTGTCTGACCTTTTCAGCATTTTAGCTCCAGGCCAGTCATGGAGCAACACTGGGAATCTTGTGAGGCTTATATATAGCAAAATGTCACCAACAACCAAAGACACTCTGTCCCCCTCCCAATCCAAATACATGAAATTCACACCCTGGGAAAAAATTCACAGTAAATTTTGGCTCGGCAAGAATAGCATTATATTTGTGCACAGGAGGTTTTCCTTTTCAGTTTTATTCACTGTATAAGGAGAAGGGGGCCGGATGGTAGGTCTGGAGATGCAGCGAGCCCCTCTCCTCACCACAAATAGCACTAGCTCTGTGACTGTAAATAAGAATTGTGGCCAAGATGACACGTGTGTTTTGCACTTTACAATTTAAAAATCACCCCAGCTTTTCACGCTCACAAAAGCCCACTGCAGTTGGCCAGGCACACATGACTGTGCCCCCTGACAGATGGAAAACCGAGGCAGAATTGAGGAGTGAAGTGACAGGTGTCAGACTGCTCCAAGCCAGGTCAGGTGCACAAACCTGCTGACCCATGCCCAGCACTGCTAGTACTGGACTGTGGAAGTCACAATCTCTCCATTTCTGCCCCTGTCACATGAACCCACCTCCAGGTCCTCCCACCAACAGCTTCAACTCACTAAGGTTCTGGAAGGACGATGAGAAGAGCAAATATTTACCTGCCACTGGATTTCTATTGTGCAGGGTAAGCCAGGCACAAAATCATGAGGTTGAAAAAGAAGTTTCTGGGCTAATTCAGTACTACTCATCCCTCATAGCCACCAGCCTCATCGTAAAAATGCCCCCAATAGCACAGGGAGCCCACCAGGTGTGTGCCCCCCCCCCACATTTTCTAACGGGGGCATAAATCTTTCTTTCCATAGCTGGTCCCAAGCCTCTGGTTCACACCAGGTTGGGAGTGGCAGACCCCTTCTCCCTAGCTCCTGCCCCAACACTCCTGGCTGATCAATCAGGGCACTTTTTCTCAATGAATGTGAACTCAGATACTGTTAGAGACAAATGGACCCATGTATGTATGTCTATGTATTAGGTAATTTTTAATAATTTGTGTCATGCTTGTTTCCAATAAAAGGCACAATAGAACAAACTATCACAATGAGGATCAAAAGCAAGAATGGAGGAAGGGGAAGGGTGTGTGCAGAAAGGGGGACTGAGGTTGCCTGCAGCACAGAAGCAGAAAACTGAGTGCTCAGCTTTCTCACAATGTCAACAGGAAAAATGGGTTACGAATAATACAGTGGCTTTGTAGGAAATACAAACTTTTCCCTGACCCTGAAATCTAACAGTCAATTGTAGCATAGATTTTGAATAAGGCATATCAAGCAGCTTAATGGGCATTGTCTTCATCCACCAAGGCAGTATTTCTCAGAGCTTCTGGACTATCAGAATCCAAACAATCTGGGGGTGGTCATCATTTCATAATGTATATGTATATCACAGTATCCCACTGTATGTCTTAAATATATGATTTTTGTGAATTCTACCACAATGAACCTGGAGGGAAAAAAAGTACATTCCCAAGCCCTGCCCCAAACTCAGAGTGAGAATCTCTGGCAGATGAGCCTGGGGCTCTGTATTTCGAACAAGCTCCCGAACTGATTCTTGTGTACCTGCAAGTTGGCGAACACCCTTATCAAAGTGTGGGTAGATGACAGTGGCTTCACATAGTGGCCTTTGCCAGCCTTCCTTGCATCTGAGCAGGACACAATGCGTGAACCCAGAAGAGTCTGGTGGAGGATCTCCAGGTCTCAGGACCCACCCAGGGAGATATGTGCAGGCTACAGAGGCTCTGTAGGCCCCAGTGGTTGGGAAGTCAGGGTTTCTGCATGCACTTGGGTGGGAGTGAGCTTGCTGCTGGGATTTCAGATGGCCGCAGGCCCCAAGGAGGGCAGGCCCCATCTCAGGTCTTGCCATCACCCCCAGGGTCTGCCATCCATAGCCCACGGCAGCCCCCAGCCTACATTAGATCAGGGATATGGGCTCAGCAGACCACCAGACCCAGGTGTTCCTACTCTGTCCCTTCCCCATCCTCATCCATCATGGGGGCAGGCAGAGCCCAGGAGTCCAGGAGCCAACCAGGTGGCAAAAACCCCAGCACAGGGGCCATGCTGCCCCCACTACCTCCTATCCTGTGCCTCTCCACTCCCCAGGGCAGGCTGGGATCTGCCAGGGACTGGCCATGGGGAGGCAATCATGAGTGCTTCCCTTTCCCTGCCCACAGGTTTGGAATAAATTGCCTCATCCAGTTTGAAGACTTTGCCAACGCCAATGCCTTCCGCCTGCTCAACAAATACCGCAACAAATACTGCATGTTCAATGATGACATCCAAGGTAAGGCTCACCCCTCCTGACAAAGCCACTGAGGACTGAGGCCTTCCCAAAGGCTGCCCTGCATGCTGGAGTGGGGGCGCCTCCCGGCTTGCCCGCTGCCCACAGCTGGGGCAGAAAGAGCATTCGTGTTGGGGCCAACTCCCACTTGCCTGATTCTTAGCTCTCTGACTTTGGAAAAGTCCCTTAACTTTGCTAGGCCTCAGTTTCCTCACCTATCAAGTGGACACGATTACTGCTTCAGAGGAAGTAAGAATTATGGGATTTAATATCTGAGAGAAATACTAACCAATGCTGCCATTTTCTAGCCACCTGAACCTGGGCTAATCAAATCTCTGAGCTGTAGTTGTATCCTCTAGTCATTGGGGATGATAATAACTGCCTTGGAAGATTATTATGAAAATATAAAGAGCTAATGTATAGAAAGTACTAGTATATAGGACTCATCAGACCAGAGCATCAGTCACCGTAAAAATGGCTTTTCCCAGCCTTAGTAACTCACTCTTGGATTTCCCAAACACTAGGTGTAGCCCTGTCCAGTCCATAACTTGGCTGGAATGCATGCTACTCAGAATGATAACTATGAAAGACATTGACACCAGGGCCCCAGGGCATTCCAAAAGCCAATGGGAGCATCTTCTAGTTCAGGGTCAACTGGGTTACCTGTTCTATGGCCCAGAAGTATCTGAAGGCACTTGCTTCTTGCTGTGGAGATGCCAGTATGTGAAACTGGAAGGGAGGGGGAGTCCCTCACACATCATCTCTCCTGATCCAGGCCTTCTCAGTAAGAGCATTGGGAACCATTCCCAGTATTTTATAAGCTCAGGAGAAACCTGAGGACATACAGATTATTATTTAACAAATGAAGTTTGGCATGCAAAATCTTTCAAAAGCAAAAATGCATGTCAGAACAAGAACAAGTTGGTGGGGGACAGGTGTTGGTCCTTGGGAGTAAGAGATTGGCCAACCCTTCCTTTTTGCAGATGAGACCCAAAAAGGTCACAACTTTTCATCAGATGAGTTAGGGTTACACTTAGGAGAATTCAAACCCGTGTAATAATAGCTAAGGTTTAGAGCTGCATATTTATTGTACATCAGGCACTGTTCTAAGTACTTTACACTTTTGATCCTATGAGATTTTATCATCTTTGTCTTAGGAATGAAGAAACTGAGGCACAGAGAGAATAAGCTTATATAGTAAGTGTAGCACTGAAATTTGGACTCTAAATTCTAAGTTCATAATCACTCACCATACAGTTCTGAGACCTTACACGATTACAAAACCAAAGGCCCCTTCCTTTCCTGTGGCCCACATTAAGGGCTAAAGAAATGTGATAAATTTTTGGTCATAAATTTTCAAGAGGCAGGATAGCACAGTTAAGCATATTATTAGACAGTTAAGATCAAAATATATGACTTCAGCACTTGAAGAGTGGGTAGCCAGAGAGGGGAGACCCAGTAAGGGCAAGATGACCCATGGCAACCCCTCCCCCAGCCCGGGGGATGCTGTCCCCCCAGATGTATGGGCCTGGGCCAGGCATTGGCTGCCGGCCCAGCCTCAGGGAAGTGGGGTGCTCTGCACAGACCAGGCAGCACATGCACTCCCTGCCCGCCTGCTGGTCACCCCACTGTTAGCCCAGTGGGCAGGGCTGGGACCACGGCCCTCGAGGAAACACCTGCAGGTTAGCCCCTGACCGACTCCCCCGTCACGGCCCTCACTCTGAGTCAGCGGCAAGACAGCCATCCCCCTGGGCCCACGGGGCTGCCAAGGCCAGAAGGTGGGAGTGGAAAACAAGTCCACGGGGGCCGCACAGCTGGTGCAGACTCCAGATGTGCGCATGTGCACACACACACACACACGCAGTCCTGTGTATACATCCTCATAAACACGGGCACAGGGACACATCCGGGCGCTGCCATCCTCTGCCTCCACTGCCCCCCACCGCCACCAGAGAGCACCTCTAGGATGAAACCAGGGCTGTCAACTCCCTCTTCACGAGAAAGTTCACACTCCCCCACTGGAGGCATAAGGCTTCAGGGGTCTGCCGATCTCTGCCCCCCTTGCACTCCCACTCTGTCCTCTGACCTGCCCTTACTGTTATCCTCTGACCTCCTTGCCTGTCAGTTCTCTCTGCACATGAAAGCGCTGCTCCTCAGTCCTCCCCATCATTTTGCCTGAGGAACTCCTGCTTAGCCTTCACAACTCCGCTTCAGGCTCTCCTGTCCCAGGGAAAGCCTCACATCGGCCTTTGCTCCCCCAGTCTGATTTGGGTACCCACTGGGAGTTCCCACGGTGCCCCCGTTAGTCCTCTTACCACACTGTACCCCAGATGCCTACACTGAATCATCTGTCTCCCCAGGAGACGATAAGCTTCCAGAGACAGAGACTGTGTGATCTGTTCTCATTCCAGTTCCCAGCACGGCATCCAGCACATTATAGCTGCTTCATAAGGAACTGGAGAATGAATGAATGAATGAATGAATGAATGACATACACATACACACACACACACACACACAATGACCTTCTCAGAAGCACACCCACCAATTCCTGGGGGCGTGTCTACCTCGGACACCTGCCCCTGCAGCCTCTCTCTTGTCCAGGTCATCATGCACGTTCAGATGCATATACATCTTCACATGTGCACCTCATGTACACACACGTAGCATTTTTTAATTAAATCAGTTCATTGGCTTTTGTTTCCTGTTAATAGCCAGTTCCAGCAGAGTCTGTTTTGCTCCCAGGCAAAGCCAGATGGAATAGTTTTCTGGGCCCCACAGCAGACAGCAAAGGAATTTCCCATTCTTTCCTCAGAAATTAAAGACTAAAGTCATGAATCTAAAATGTGTAACAAGAGCTAGCAAATAGTGGGGCACCTGGGTGGCTCAGTCATTAGGCATCTACCTTCGGCTCAGGTCATGATCCCAGGGTCCTGGGATCGGGTCCCACCTCAGGCTTCCGCAGGAAGCCTATTTCTCCCTCTCCTACTCCCCCTGCTTGTGTTTCCTGTCTCACTGTGTCTCTCTCTGTCAAATAAATAAATAAAATCTTAAAAAAAAAAAAAGAGCTAGCAAATAGTACCAGAATGTCAGGATCCCTATAATATCAAGTCTTTGATCAGGACAGCCTGACCATTAGGTACGACCATAAGCAACAAAAGTAAAGAGATGGGCATGGAGGTGGACCCCCCAGACCTTCCTTCAAGAAAAGACTTGTCCCAACTGCTGACAGGGCTGTCAGCTGCATCAGACAGAGAGTCTCAGCTACAGAGAGCCGCCTTGCCCATGGTCCTCCCTGCCAGAGACGCCCTTACCCAGTGATGTGGGAATATAGAAGCCCAACCACTGTGGCCCAATGGAGGACAGTACAAAGGGGACATTTTAACTCCAGAGCTCCCCACGAGGTTGGTTGAGGCTTTGAGGACTACACACAGCCCGGCTTCTCCTCTGCCCCATCCTGCTTCCTGCCACACACCTCCCGCCCCCCCCCCCCCACCTTCCATAGGTGCTGATCCCAAGGGCATTTCTTGGTAACATCCGGAATACTCCACATGTCTCAGAATCTGCTTCCCAGGGAGCCCAAGCTGCAAAGTGATAACATTTTGCATGCACACAGGACTTAAGATGTAAAAAGTGTTTTTCGTACACACTATTTCACAACTTCCTTGAAATAGCCCCTCTCCCTTCAGGGAGGACAGACATTGCTGTCCTATGTCACAGGTAAAGAAACTGAAGTTCAAGGATTACCTTTTGCTCCAGGTCACATAGCCAGACAGGCACAAGGTGGGACTAGAACCTAGTTATTCCTGATTCAGAGTTCTCTGTCTCCATGACATCAGGCTGCCTATTCCCCCCATGTGCGTGAGGCGGTGCAGTGAGTCTCCTTGCTAAGGATTAAATTCCAGATCCCACATAAGTGGGGGTGTCACTGGTCTCCAGCAGCCTGCTGCTCCCATCTTCCCCATCCCTTCCTCCAACTCCCCCAGTTTACAGACCAAAGAGGAGGCCCAGAGAGGGGAAGGGGCTTGTCTTCATCACCAGCTGATTACTGATGGGTCCAGGACCAGAAGCCTATGATGTGTGTCCTCAGTGCTAAGTGGGCAATTAGGAGATGGGTGAGGAATTCCAGGACTCGTGGGACAACATGGAAGATTAAGCTCATGCTAGAATTGGCCCCTTTTACCTCCAAATACAAAGTAAAGAGAAATGAAACATAAAACAATATAGCCATGCTCAAAAATAGAAAAGGAACATCCACATGCAGACTTGAAGAGGGTTGAGAGAGAGAGAGAAAGAGGGAGGCATGACAGTGGCAAACAGACACCAAAAACAAGTCACATGTGGTTGCTGGGGCCAAGCCCAGCCCACCCAAGCAGGACCCCAGCAGGACTCATCGTCAGAATCTGCCCAGCACCCCACACAAGGAACCAGGCCGCCCACATAAAAATGAGACTGGGCCCACGCTGCCTGCTCTGAACACCAGGCCGGTCTCCCATCCTTGGTGGAACTCGGAAGATCTGACCAAAGGCTTCAGGCTCCCCGCAGACTGCGCTCCGTGAAGGCAGGGGTAATGCCTTCCCGGCCAGTCTCCCGGCCAGTCCTGCTTGTCCCACACACCTGGGATTCACCGACCCCACAGGGCCGTCCACATGCTGGGGCCTCTGGAGCCCCAGGGCTGGAAGGGTCCGGGGCTCCCCGGGGCTGCCGGCTGTCGCCTCTGCCCCCACCCCTGCCAGCTGACACAAAGCCTCCGCTGCCCCAGGCTGGGTCTGTGAGCCGGGCTGCGCATGCGCTGACTTACAGCCGGCAGTCTCCGCAGGCATTTTGGAAAAGGTAGGGGCTCAGGTGACTTGTTTCAACCAGGACCAGAGAAGCATCCCCGCTCTTAGGGGAGGAGAAAGAGACCTGGAAGGGGAACAGCAATAGCAATGGTCATGCTGGAGGACAGGCCAGTGGTGTCCTTACCCAGGAGCCAGAAGCAGGATGCTGCCGGCCTAGTAACC